GGCATTCGTGGCGCCCTACTCAGGTTGGTGTGTCCCGCACCGTCGTCTCTTTACGGCACATTTGCACACCTCCCGCTGGAGGCCAGAGAAAGTGATTGGCTGTTCAGCTTAGCGAGTCCGTGCATGAGGGACCAAAACAAACGATTAAGAAGGCACACACAGACGGTTAATCTTTTTCATTTTCATCTCACCCGGACGCAAGAGTTTCTTTTTTATGTTTACATGTTTTCGATTGACGAGAGAAAGTGAGAATGGAACCCAGACGCTATTTGTTGTTTGTTTATATTACGCAGCCTGTTCTTCTTCTCTCGGTGTATAGTCTGTCTTCCGGTTGTTGCCTCTTTTGAATGACGAATACACACTACCGCTGCCTGCTGGTAAGGACAGTTATTGCCACTCGTCAACTGAAGTCTTTGCGGTGTGTTCGTAGGCGCGCGCCTTCGGTACGCGTTCTTTGGTCTCAGGTTGGTGTGTAGCGGCCTTAACCCTAACCCATGGCGTTTGAACGTATTTTAAGTTATTTTAAAGATTTGTGTTGACAACGAAGTCTTGCTGGGTGAAGAAACATAATTGGTACCAAGTCACAAAACAAGAATTTTCCCATTTGATAAGTTCATGTTTTCCAGGACATTCTGGAGAACTTGGTATTTCAGAACAAATGATCGAGCAAATGATCTTGATGCCTCACTGGTAGCAAACTGTGACCGTACAGTGACTGTATTCCCAGGGAAGAACTCTATCAAACTAAATCCATTAATCACGGACCACAACATCAACACGCTGGGCAGCAAAATAAATGTTTTCTTTGTTTTTTGGGGTTGACGGTGGTTTCTCTGCAGCATTGATTCATTGCTGTTTACGAGAACAAAAACGACTCAAACCACAAACGGAGACTTATTCCCAAACTTTTGGGATTTAACAACTAATGACAAGTCTTTTTATCTTGTATTAATGATGATGGAGGTCCTTGTTTGACCCTGAATGTGGCCTGATGGATAAATCGTTTGACCTTGTAATTCATGCATTAACTAAACCTAATGTTAACCTTAATATTACACGAATATTTAACTAAGTGCACTGGCTGTCAAGGAGATCATGCCTGGAAAAACTAGCTGATTAAATCTGCCTAATTAACCATTAGAGGAGAAAAAAGAGGGACACACTCCCGATTCATTCATAGTTCATACTGTAGCCTAGTTAGTGTGAAAATACAAAGATATGAAACAAATATTGGGTTAATTCCCTGGCCTGTGGATACCCCTGATTATTTTCAGCGATTAAACTCAATTTGATTTGTTTCTGGAAGGGTTTTTAAAAGGGCCAATACAAGCTAATAAAACGGCTTTCATTATTGTTCTAACTAATTCCCTCTACTGCCACAAAACAGAGACAGATCGATTGTCTGTTCATTTGGAAACTCTTTCATTAACTTTAGAATAACGAGAGGGAACATTACCTCTGGTGTGCAGCTTAATGATTTGTTTGAGAGAACTGTAACTCAGAGACCAAAGATCCTTTCATTCCTCACAGCTGTCAAACTTTCCCCAAGTGAGACACCAACGCCTTGACCTTTTGGAGATCCTGTCTGACCTTTGCTGACCTCAAATACTCTGGTCCCATTGGAGCAAGCTCCGCTTCAAACACCTGTTACACAGCTGAGCTCTGTTCATTCAAGGTTTCATCATTTGTGCAATTGACATGTATTTGATTAGATTTACTTCGAATGTGTAAAACAATAATAGAAAAATGTAACATAAGAATTATTATACAATACAAAATGAATCAGTGTCAAATTGATATACAAAAATATTACTGACTCTAAGTTATATATAAACAATTATAAAAGGGACAAGTCAAATCAAGCAATCTGATTGGTTCTTAGCTGTGATATACTGAGCGTATACCAC